CACCTGATCTGTACAGGTGCTTCAGAGCCAGGTCAAACTAGTGTGCTGATGCTTCTGGGCATGTGCTGGACTCAGCGTGGGAGCGTGTTGAGTTTAAAGTAAAGGACTTTTTTTTTTCCATGTCTGGAAGCAGCCTAAAGGAATAGAGCTGGAAACAACAATATAGCAGAGAGATGCAGAATTCCCTGATCAAGACCATGTGGATCCACAGGCATTCATAGTCCTTCCATGGCTTGCTAGGGGAAACTTTTGTGCTTTCTTTGTAGCCAGATTGAATCTATACTGAATTGTATTGTGATTGGATCCCAATCCACGCCTATGTTCCCGGGGCTCTTCCATGCCAGTTGCAGGTGAATTAACATTGCTCTCATCAGTATTAAAGCAAATCCTCTTCTGGTGAGTGTACTCCTTGTGGGGGGAGGGTCCCACCACACTGTGGCCCCATCATACGATTTCAGTGTTGATTTCAAGGAAGTGATAGAGAAAGCTCTGTGGTAATGGGCTGCTTGTGAATGAAAAGTTTTATTACTGGTACAAACTCCATTCTGTCCACCATCATATTTCCACTAGAAGTTTTCTTACTGTTTCCCTGTGTTCTGTGCCGATGAGCATCAGTAATGTTATTGCATCCTCTTACCCAACAGTGTTTCCATTTACTTAAACCATAATTATATTGTGAGATCTTACAAAGATGTTACACTATTACCTGTTCCGAGACCATCAAAAACAATATACCAAAGCTTCATTTAATTTTCTAGCAGCAAAACAATATTTCAAAGATAATTGCTTCTAACATAACAGAACTTGGAGGGTTTTTTTCTCTTTTTCTTCCCAGGATTCCTATTTACCTTCTCTGATTGTTCCCTTCAAACATCTACAGCACTAAATTGATTATAGGATCACAGTGCCAGAATAGTCTGTTAGGCAAATTTAAATGTTTAAATATAGTTTACAAATAATTCTGGAATGACTCATCATACCACACTGCAGTTTTAGTATGTGTATCTATACCTACCTCATTAAAGCACGGAAGTATAAACACATGGTACTGATTTGTGTAACAGAAATCAGTGACAGCTTAATAAATTAACAAAGTTTAGTTTAGGGCTCAGCTTGTCTGTGTATCCAGATTCCATTGAAGTCAATGGGAGACTTTTTAGTGGGTCTGAAATTTATGCAGTGTAGAAGAGAAAGAAGAACTGTACTTGAGCTTGTAATTTTTGTTCACTGAGGACTTGGGTGCATCCAGGAATATTCCAGCTGCTCAGAAGACAAAAAGGCAGCTGAAAAAGTTATGTTGGAACACTCTTGTTCCTGTGTATTTGATAAGGTTTTTTACCCTTCATGTCCTTTCATAGGCTTCAATGAAATATTTAGATGGCTTCTATGCATAGGCTAAGTTGCTAGTAATTAAAGGGACAATTGTCCAGTTGATATTTAAAAAAAAGATTGATTACAAAATTTTCAGTTTCTTAATTGGTTACTTAAAAGATTCTTAAAAGGTTTAAAAAAGATGCTAGGGCTTTTGTGTTCCCAGGATCATGTCTATAGGGGTTTTGGGGCAGGCCTTAAAGTATGAATAGGCAAAATAAGTGACTAAATATCCCTTCATTTCTTTTTGTCTCTTAGTGCATGTCTGTGTGCTTCCTTTTCAGCTTCAGTTGCTGTTAGAAAATACTAACAAGACTGTTAGGGGGAAAATAACTTTTTTCAAGTGGTAGTAATCCTGGAACTCATGATACCTAAAGAGAGATCAGGTGGAAACATGGTTTTCCAATTAACCCTATCCCTTTTAAATAATCCAGACTTTTATTTAAGAGCATGTACAAGAACCTCATGATTCAACTCTTCAGTTATTCTTTTGCTAAATGTTGTTGTTGTGCTTCTAACTAATTTCTTTAAAAATAATTTCAGTCAATTTCTAATAGTAATGGAACACAACATAGATCATTGAAATACTCATAGACTTTGTACAGACCTTACAGGTAAAAGTTTTGGGGCTAGATCAGGTTAAAAAGTCCGTGTCCCTCCCCCCCCCCCCCCC